AAAAAAGAGAAAGAAAGAGAGAAAGAGCCCCCACCCCCAGCGTGCCTCTACTCTTTGCAGAAATGCTGATCAGAAAAGGGGGGGGCACCCGTCACCAAGAACAGCCTGATGCGAGGGTCCCAGCTGGGGCTGGTTCCAGCTTCCGCCAAAGTCCGACTGTCATCCTGGACTGGATGATGCGCGCAGCCTCCTTGTGGTGGGCTTCCCCAGACAACCCTCGGCAGGGGGCGGTGTTTTCTAGAGGTGTTGTGCGCTTCATTTTCAACAAGATTCAGAACAGAAAGAAGGTGTGGAAATCCTGTCCTGTGGGAAGGAAGGACCGGAAGCAAAGGCTTCCTTCTTGCCCAACGTCCTTCTATGGTCTCTGTGCGGTTGGCGACTTCTTTCTAAAGCACAAGAGGGAAAGAGGTATAAATTCCTACCATCCCTCTTACGCACCTGGAAGATGAAGTGTATGGCTTTGGTTGTCAGGAAAGACCAGGCAACTTGGCCTCTTCATTCAAGGGCATTTGGATGGAAAGGAGACAAAGGGTGTTTGTTGGCCAGACGGCTGGCTTGGTTTCTATGCCACCTTCCTCCCGGAGCTAGGACCTTTGGTGCCTCTGTCTTCCTTGTTTCTTTGTCATTAAGCCAGACAAATCTTACTTATTTGCTTAAATTACTGTATATCTACCCAACTGTTCTCCTAGTGAAGGAACCTGTGGTGGTATAAAGCAGCTAGGGAGGTATTTAGGGCATTTACAGAACAAAATCAGTTTAAACAGGAAGTCTTCCACCTGCCTGTGGAAGAACGGTAAAGAGTGAACATGGGAGTGAACCTCGGAGACCGGGAGTAGGCGTCAAAAATGCCCTCTCTCAAGTCCTCACTCACTGTGGGTGCAACAGAACTGAGGAAAGACCCTCTCCTGAAGATCTCTGAGATGGGAAGGGTTAGATGGGGAGATTTGGTCCTTCAAGCCATCTATGGGGCTCTGTAGGTCATAACCAGCCCTTTGAATTCGGCCCAGAAATGGATCAGCAGCCAGTGGGGCTGTTCTTGCAAGAGAAGGTTACCATCCCTGTAACGGCTCCAGACAGCCGCCTGACTGCAGTCTTTTGAAACAGCTGAAGTTTCCAAACTATAAAATCATAGAATAATGAAGTTGGAAGGGGCCCATAGGGATATCGAGTACAACCTCCTTCTCAATTTAAGTATACATATCAAAGGATATCTGCCAGGTGCCATCACCGAAGCCCAAACCTCTGGATAACGTATCCCAGCAGTTTTATGTTGGTGCTAAAAAGCGTGGGAGAAAGACAGACTCTTGGCGGATGTCAGACGCCAGAGTGTCCAACAGGAATCTTCCGGCATAACCCTCTGAGGGTCCAGGAGGGTCCAAGAAGAGCCACTGGAGAACAGCCCCATCCCGGAAAGATGACCCAGATACTAACAGGGACACCCTGCCCCTTTCCAGTTCCCAGCGTAAGTCAGAGTGGATCCAGACAGTTTTCCTTTGGGAGTCTGTCACCAGTTCTTCACAGCAGGCTCTTGAGTGTCCACCCTTCTCTGCTTGCGGGCCAGGATGTCATAGGCTCCTGGCTTCTCGAAAAGGCCCGGCTGAATGGCAGCAGTGACGGCACAAGAAGCTGCCTTCTCTGCCACCAGCCTTCAGGGTATCTGGGGTCACCTCACTGGGATGGGTCTTCCAATGGGCTCTCACTCGCGTTTGGTCAGATTGGTTTTGAATTCCCCACTATTGTGACTCTAGTTTCTCTCCCACTCTTTTAGCCTTCTCTGAGCCTTCAGGGTATCTGGGGTCACCTCACTGGGATGGGTCTTCCAATGGGCTCTCACTCGCGTTTGGTCAGATTGGTTTTGAATTCCCCACTATTGTGACTCTAGTTTCTTTTCTC